CCTGGTTTTGTAAACTATTTTCATCAAGCTGAAGATGCTTCAAGAGATTCTGCATTCTGGTTCAACATGCACTTCAAAGTAAGAGATGAAAGGGGAGAGGTATACAATGATGAATTACTTCTCAACCTACATTTCTGCCCTTCCTTTAAGTTTGCTATGATTTATAGAAATACAGTTTGGCATTTCAGGAAGAAAAATTTCTTTACTCCCTCCCTTGCTATCTAAAACATATATCATCCATAAAACAGGCTCTGAGTGAAAATTACGACCAGCTGTAAGAGTGTGTTTCTCTCTGCTACTGAGGGAATTTCTAACAGCAGTGAGCTCAGTAACTGAGGATCTAGACTTTACAGGATGCACCTCAGAAGAGTTAGAGCTGCTGTAACTCTCCCTTCTGGAAAGAAAACAAGCTGCTTCTGAACAGCCATGCAGGGCAATCTCAACCTACACCATTCTAAAGGAATTTCCAGTAGTATGTACAGAATTAAATACCTATTATATTTTCAATAGTTGCCTAAGGGATGCCTCAAGCAGGCAGACAGAAAATTAATTTAAACAAAAAATCCAGACAGAGCTTTGCTAGTGACAGAGGAAGAAGATTATTCTATAAGCCTCTTGTTTTGCTGCAGATTGTTACAGACCTGGTGACAGGGCAGGTTAAAAAAAGGTCAGTTAACCTGCCTTTTCTGCCTTAGAATTCTGGTAACCAATTCTGAAATATCAGAAGGTATTTTAAAAACAAAAACTAATTTGTGCTGTCTCAAATGTGCAGTGACAACATGAAATAATATTTCAATTTTTATATTTAAATAACATTTATGCCACCCCTAGGAGTCTGCTTTAAAGGCTGAAGCCAGCAATCAGAAAGTATTTGCATTAACCAACCAATAAAACACTTTCTGAATTGTGGTTTTTTAGAACCTGTGATGTATACCACAGTGGTACACAGTAATCTTCCTGGCTATGACACATTCAGCTACACAGCTCTTATTAAAAGAAAGGAGAAATTAGAAACCCAAAGTGCTGGAAAAAAGAATTACACCTATGCCAAAGCACAAATGGCTAAACAGGCTACCAGTGTGACCTCCAATTTTAAATGGTCAGGTCACAAATCGAACATATTCCCCTCCTTACTCACCTAGATGAGAGATTTCTAAGTGTTATTTGTAAAGTCTTCCTTTGTGTGCTGGATAAGAACATAATTTCAGTGATTTCTTTATAATCTGGAGGTAGAATTATTACACAGACTTAGGAAGCCTCAGCTGGTGGCAGGAAGAACAAGCTTGTGTCAAAGCAGCTTTCAGAGACAGAGCATACGCAGAGGGCAAACATCTGAAATAGAGCTCTGATATCCCAGAAAACTACTGCCACTTAACAAGGTCCTACCTCTCTCAGTACTGGAACACCTGATTGCAGATATGTTTTGACCTGTGGCTAATGTGGCTAATTCCTTCTGGCATTTGAGCCATCAGCTGGATCAACTAAGCTTCAAAGGTTTAAACACAAGGACTGCTGCCTGTATTCCTACTGAATGTCTCTTACTAGTTTGAAATAAATGCAATTTGGCCTATAAGCAATTGTGGAAAACATTCAAATACTTGAAGGTATAGAGGAATAAAAATCAAAAGACTAACAATTCAGGATATTATTGCAGAATGTTAAGTGATGTCCCTCTTTTATGCTACAGAAGAGGGATTACTTTATCTAAACTATAATGAAACATGCAGAAATTAGAAATGAATGCCCATTGAGTTGGCTTTGTGCTAAAACACAAAAAAATACAATCTGCTTAAAAAACTGCTGGGACATTTGAAACGAGTTTCATTATAATCCCCACTGAAGACTCTTTTAGACACAGTTTCACCAGTTTAGTACCTTTAATACAAGTCATTCAAGTATTGTAGTGTTCCCTCACCAGAGCAGACATTTTCAAGGAGGGTTTGAAATGCAGGAATTCTGACAGACAAGGCAGACACTACCATGGTGGAAGCACAGACATATACAGGATCCTAATGGGTGAGAGGTTTTAGCATTTAACAACTCCGCTCTGCGGAGTTAAGTTACTAACTTAACATTAGTACTAAGAGCAGAAAAATCTCTTCTGCCTGTGTTCATACAGCTGAGGAGCATGCCTCATTATGTGGGATCCTTCCCTTGTGCTTTGCTTTGACACATCAGGAGATCAGCTCCCAGCACAGCCACCAGGCACTCCAGATCTGTCTTCTGTGGCTGTAACACTCCCCACATCAACACTGCCAGTGTCCAGCTGCAGAAAGTTTTCCCTTTAAACAAAGACAGGGTACTTGTGCCATTCAGATGACTCTGCCTGCCAACTCCCATGGCTCACCTTTGCCAACAGAGCCCTGAGCACCTTTCCATTAAGCCTGTTGGAGAGGGAAGCTGGAGGGCCTTACCAACAAAGCAGCAGCAACTGAAAGCCCTGAGCTCTGATCTGCTCAGCAGAGACCAAAAAGAGCTGTGCAGCCCTGCACAGCCCACAGGGCTCAAAGGTAGAAATAGTAGCTGAGTTGTTACCACTTCATCTTTTGATGATCTCTCTCTCTAATCATCTCAGGGAATTCTTACTCCCCTAAGAATTCTCCAGCTCAAAATGACACTTTTGTGTTTATTTTGGTTTTTCTGCAGCAAGTGAAAGACATTTTGCAGGATTTTGGAAAAATCAAATGTATGTTTTAATGCATATATTTTTCTGGAACCCTACTGCTCTTTAAGATAGAAGCAATGATTTACTATGTGTATTTTGGGGCCATTCCTTAAAGGAACAACCAAATACAATAAACACTTCTAAAACAGTGAGAGGTATGCCAAATGCAAAAGTACTTCTATTGTAATAATAAGAAATGTCAACACTACAGCTGTAATGGGAAGTTCCAGGAACATGGTTAAACTAAATTCTTCTTGGCTCAGAGCCATACAAATATTTCTTTTCCACATTCCCATCAATTACAGAGGTACAGTAAGTGTTTTTGTGCTTAAGTGCACTATTACAGGGGACACAAATAAGTCATTTTTCCTGCAGTGGTTGAAGCTAACATTTCTATAAGATCATATTACACGTTTGGCAGACTTGAGGCAAGCTAGATTTTTACTTGTGTTGCATTAGTAAGCCACACCATTTGAATCACCTGAAAACAGGTAGTACAACTGCATGTCCTATCCAAACTACACACATTTACAGTGTCCATGAGTAGTTTTCACTTCAATACTGGTACAAGTATTCATGCTTGGGAAAGCAGAGAACAATTATTGTTAATTGTTTACACGCAATAACAATAGCAGGTGTGTACCATGAGATAATTTTTAATCAAAAATTACATTGTAGAGCTCAGTTGCCATTTTAAATGCATGTTTTAGACTGACAAATTTATACTTAAACTTTATTAGGACAATTAATAATGTTATTAATAAAGAAAAGCCAACCAGAGGTAAGCACATACTTTTTAGAATGAAATAAATCACCCTCACAAGCACTGCCTCCCATCACTGACAAAGTCTATTAAAGTGTGAAAAGACTGTAGAATTGCAATGTCCTCTCTGTGTGTCAGCTTAGTCTGACTGTACCATTAATGCTTGTCTTCCCTTGAAGAAGCCCCAAACCAGATAAAAACAAGATTACCCATTTTCTGAAGCTTCCAGTTCCACATGGAGTACATGCCAAAGACACGACAGAAATTGAGTGTCTACAACGCTAGTGTAAAAAATAAATGTCTTATGGAATTAATCATTATCATTAAACATGAAAAATTATCAATGGAAACCATGTTTCCAAATTGGTTTTTCATCCACGTTTCAACCCTTCAGCTCATATGACCATCTTAGAAAACAAATCAAGGTACTTCACCAAGAGTTAAGTATCACCTTATTCATATTTTGCCTGTTCTTATCAATCCTTTACATACAACTTTACTGGGAATATCTGACCATACAAAGGCAGCACCTAGCCAGATACATAGATGAGGGAGGTTAGGAAATACAGTTTCATTCTCTTCAAGCCAAACTGGTTAAAAAAGAACAGAAAAGTCTGACCTTACACATCAGACTGCAACTGGCAGGAGATTCCTGACCAGTGCAAGGATGACTGTGGGGCAGCTACAGCAGTTAAAAATTCTTAAATATTCCATTACTAACACGGTGATCCAGGAAGAGAGCATAGTTTTATGGACAGCTTCATGCTGGATGGTAAAAACGAACATATTTTCTCAAGTTAAATTTGATCTCAATTGCAGTATCAAAAACTGTAGAATTATCATAACTGTATGTATTACTGTACATGTATTTTTGTAAGCACAAAAAGAGTTGAAATAGGTTAAAGCTCTCAAATGTCACTGTAGTACATTGCTTTTTTACTAGAATTCTGTTAGGTTTTATTTGCAATAATTTGCATGGTAGAACTATGCAGACACCCTTATTTTACTATTACATTTAACGTGGAAAGGCAACTATTGCACCAAACCCCTCCTGCATAGCCATCTGAAGAAATATTTACTCAATCTAAAGGTGATAAAATTTACCCTTCCTTCAGAGTGGCTTGAACAACCAAGGCATAAAAACAACTCTTCTTTGAATGGTGAAGAACGGCAGTGCTGAGAGAGTTCATAGTCCCTTTTAAAGTGACCTTTAAAGAAGTCTTTACTTCTTACTCTAGACAGCTGGTCTAGACTACCTACGATATAACCATTGTTTGGGTGCTGAAAGCACCAATCTAACAAGGCCACATTAGGTACTTCTGGCTCACTGTTCCCCTTTCCATTACATGCCTAAAATTTGAGCAGTGCAAAAGCTCTGATCTTCACCATCAGTGCACAAAGAAAGTGGCTGTACCCCATTTTGACTCCTCTTTCTGAGACAGGAATACAAAAGTGTTTTCAGACATAAGGACTGCGGCATATTAGTCACTACAAGAAGTGACACCATGGGATCTCAGCAGTACATCTTAGCTCCCTAGTTGTAGATGACATAAGGAAAGCACATGGACTTACTGACAATTCTTTGATTAATTTTCTTAATTCCTTGTGCCCATGCTTCTTCGCAATACTTTCTGGATCATCTCCATATTTATTGGTTATTTTGCAAGCCTGTGTGGCCTCAGGGCAGCAGAGTAGACATGTTGCAAGTTTCTTCAAACCAAATCTGGCTGCACAGTGAAGCAGGGTAGGAAATTCTTCCAAATGCCTATCTGTATAATGGAAACAAAGTCTTAAGAAAAGAAGTTCTGCTTTTATAGAACACCTCCTATAAATGTCTTTTGAATATTAGTGCTGTGGAATCACAGTTATCAACCCCTAATATTAAACTAACACCCGAATAATTATTTTTTGAATTAACAGTTTTACAGTGCCGATATGTATATGAATAAAGGAGCCTTTGCTGTAACTGAGAAATCTCATTTTTATCCTGACAGAGGGATTTTAAAGCACTTCAGTTCTATTGAGAAATAAACTTTCTTGCGAAGGACAGAAAATTCTACATCCAAGACATGCTTTTGCTTAGATAGAATATTTTCTAGTGGGGCATTTTTACAGGTTTATGATGCTATATTTTGATATTAAAAATAATTTCTGAAAATTCACAGGACTACCAGGCACTTGGAAAAATTTGATTACCCCTGTAATGACAAATCAGAGAATTTAAAGATGAAAAGTTTTTAGGGTTTATCTGAAATAACATTATATTAATTTCTATCCAAAACCATTTTTACATTGGAGAACTGGGACATTCAGTTTATCATTTCAGTATCTTCCTGTATTTAAACTCTATGACTGACCACAAGTTACATACAACAACAACCAAACAGGCAACAATAAAGAAAAACAGTTCAAGCATAAAAAATACTTCTCTCTGCATTCATACTCTACTTTCTGATTACTTGTGGCTTGCTGTGCATAATGGTCTATAAATTAGCATGCAGTGTATCTCTTCTCCAAGCATGCATCCAGCTTGCCCCAGGTACCATCAATGTTTTGCACCCTGAGGGTCTTTCCTACTCAGAGCATGAAGGAATCTCCTCCCTAGTTTGCTTTGAGCCCGGCTTCTGCTAGGGTTTAACTCAGAGTCCCTAATTCATCTTATTCTCCATCACTGCCTGCCCTCTATGCAATTCCAGTCATTTACTCATTCCCATAATTTCTTTCTTGAAGAGCTCCAGACTTTGGGCCTATAGAGAACCAACTCCAACATACACACTGCTCTCTCCTCAACCTTTTCCAGCTTTACTGTAACTATTTTGAGACGACAGGAGAAGAGCAGCACAAGATACTCAACTTTGGGGTGAGCCATGTAATTCATGCATTGCTACGATTATGTCCAGTTTTGTTCTCAATTCCTTTGCTAATAATTCCTAGTGTTTCATTAGCTTTTTGATCTGCTGCCTAGCAACAAGTTGATGTTATCATGGAACTGCATGGTCTTATTACTCAGCACTAATAGCCTGCTCAAATCCTCTCATTTTGGATGACACCATAGGACTGATTTCTTTCACTTACACCACTTTGGTTTTATCTGTAATGAATATCATCTTATATTTCACTGCATAATCCATAAACCTCTCATTCCCCACCCCCCATTAGCATTTTTCCTTACTACCCCAAACTCTTCATATCACTAGAAAAAGAAGATTTTTCCCAATTACCTGCCTCGTGGTTTTGGTCAGTTATTCATCCATACCTAGTCAGTTATTGACTTAACTAGGTTCATTGACTCTTTAATAAAACCTACAAGAAACTCGAAGTCAGATTTCACATTGCAGAAGACTTATTTTATTAACACTTTTATTAGTTTGTCCTGCAGAGATAACATCTTAACCTGCTTCTGGGTCACATGGTTGCCTGAGAAACTGGGTTTTGACATCAACTCCTGATTTGGCCACACCTCCTAGTACTAAAAAATGAAATATTGCATTGTTAGAAATCCAGATATTTTACTTTAAAATTTCCTCAGAGCCCTTAAAGAATGCTAGCTAGTCCAGGCAATTTTTTTGTGTTCAATCTGCCTGTTTTTGCAATAACTTCACGATCCCTTCAACACCAGTCTATTTTCACATGTCTCCCATCCAGGACTACAGCTTAGGAATTTACACAGTTTCTTATATCTTTCTTGAGTTTTATTTTATGTACCTGTCATCAGTTGTCCTACAGGTCAGCCAGCACATTTTCAACCCATAGTGTGCTGGAAGAAATTATGACTCCTTTTGGAAAGCTCTTAGCTGCCAGTCTTTAACAAACTTTCTAATTTTCACATTCTTCTGAATAGTGAAATTTGGCTCAGCATTGGTGAATTTGTGTACCCTGCCTGCCCACCCTTTTTGCTCCAGCAGAATCATAATATGGGAAAGAGAAAAATCTCATCTCACCATTAAATATAAGGAACAAGCAGTTCTTGGAATAAGCATAGCTAAGTACTAACTGAGAAAACATGTTAAGACAGTTTTGAGTGTATTTTGGACAAAAAATATTCCAGCATTATCCCACTCCAATATTATTTTGACAGGAGGTATTTGAGTGGGCTACAATTTGATCAAAAGTCCCATTAACAACACTAAACTGATTTTTAAACAAATTTTGTGTTGCCTAACTTTTCTTTCCACCAGGCAAATAAAAATCTCATCAAGAAACCATAAATATGCGTACTGCACCTGTGTAAATCAAGACACTTGTTTTAGAAGCCTTGGCAGGTTGAACTTCCATCAACAAGAGCATGGGTTGTAGTTTATATTCCCTTGTATTTTCAGTGTGCTTTAAAATCTTTTGGGCTACTATAAGAAATCTTAAAACTGCATAGCACCTAAAATTTTTGAGACAAGTAGATGCTACACAACTGTCATTTGAAGAACTATAATTTTTAGCCCAGAGTATATGCATTCAACTTCTTATTTCTGTCTTGTTTTTCCTAAATGTAGGAAAAAACAGGATTCTCTTAAAGTGTTCAAACCTGAGCTAATATTTAAAAAAGCTTCCACAAATCCTCCAACTGCTTTTCTTAATACTTGTGGATTTTGCTATTTTTTTAGATGTTCAGCAATGCAGTAGGTGTTGGGCAGTAATCGTAAAGAAGAGTAAACTTTATGAACTTCACTCAATAGTTTGCACCATTAGGAGACACCAGAAGATCAAATAAATAGAGTCACTAAAAAGAGCCTTAACACGGTATTAATAACATACTCCAAATTAATTTTCACTCAAACTAATGAAACTCAAAAAAAAAAGGTTTTCTGAAAGGCAATCAAGTCTATATTACCAATGGACTGGATGCTATGATTTCTTCACCAACAGAAAAAGAGTAGGTGGTATTCATAAGCCTGCTCTAGGTAAGCCTATACCTGCCTAGAATGCATTTCTACACTCTTAAAGTAACACAAAACAGAGGTATTCCAAAACCACTTCAGCTGTTTTTTCTGGTCACCACTCAACTCCTCCCTAGCTGAGTTTGATATTCAGGCAGAACTCCTACACTTTCATACTTCAAACATTACAGGGAACTACATCATTAACAAATGAAATATCTCAGCCAGCCATAGAGGATGGTAAAAATAAATAAATTAATAAATCAATTTCCTAAAGCAAACATTTTTTTCTATTGCTGCTTGTAGTAAGCAGAAAAAAAAAAGTTTGTTGTCAGGCAGGAAACTTCAAAAGCAGCATTGATGGTATAGTGAGATCTTCTACATAAAACTCAAAGAGGAAATGAGTGGTTCAAACCGACACTTTTAGTCTCTTCTGCTCATGAACCTGAAGCCTGGTGGCATCAAGTTGTGACACAAAGCAAAAAGTCATGATGAGGACCCACAGATGACTGAGCTTCACTGACTTAAGACAGTTTTCAATACTCTGATTTTCAGGCAGTCAACCAGCAGCACCCTGCACTCACACAAAGGAGGACACAATCTTTAAGGGCCAAACTTTTCCAGACTTGCTGATAAATCCTCCCCCAAAGCACTGAACTACTTGAGGCCATCTCAGTACAGCTGTTGTCTTGGTAAATGCTATACTGACAGTGGAGATGGCTGCTGTTTTTTCAACAACCTCAGCAACATTTCAGTGACCTTTTCTGTATGCAGCTGTGGTACCAGTAGCCACTCTCTGCTAATAATAATTAGCTAGTAACATAAGCTAATAGCTTTACCTCCCATGCAGTGAAGGGGAAAAGAAGTTCTTAGGCTTGGCTTCTCAGAAATTTCTCCCCAAAATCCATAGGTAATTATGAAATACAGTAAGGTTAACAACCTCAAAAGAGATTATTGACATCTCCTGGTCTTTGTTTTTTGCCCTCATTCTGAAAAGAGACACCACTAACTGTTTGAATCTCTCCCAAGTCATTAGGAAAAGGTGAAGAACTTCTCTCTTTCCACCAGGTTCTACAGCAGAAATTGATGATGACTATGGGTACCACTGTCAAAATAACAGGTAAGAAAAGTCCACTACAAGATTCATGTTTGTTTTTTAAATTATAACTGTTCTTTAATTGCCAATTCTCAAAACTGAGTTGAGCTCTTAAGACAAACTAGATGTTCTGCTGTAAATTCCTCATACCATGTTTAACCACTTTAAATAGTTTTGTATTATACAGAGTGAAAAGAGGCTGTAATTATTTGAAAGCCCACATGCTTCAGGAAGAAAATACCGTTCTTGAACTTGCAAGTTTGTCACACTGAACTGGTGAAAATTGCTGGAAATTTTGCCTGCTGTTAAACTGGAACAACTGGTACATTTCAGCTAACTATACAGAACTGAGCAAAAGTAGTAGTTATAAGGGTAAAGCAGCGAGCAGCTTTTACTCAACATCAGCCCTTTAATGGAGAATGTTAACAGAGTAAAGCTGTGGCTGTTTGGCTAAGAGCACTAAGAACTGGCTAGCTGATGCTCACAAGCTGGAAGGAAAGGTTAAAGGGAAAGTTCTCAAGTGGCACATTTTTAAGTGCTTTAAGGTGGCTTCTTCAACTTTCAGCTTACATTGAGGCCAGTGCTTGCTTTTAATTAAAGTTCTATTTGACATACACAAGGTTAAGAGGGAATTGCTGGGGGGTTTTTTGTATGTTTTGCCCTGTCATAAACCTTTCTCTTCTCCACAGAGAATTCTGAAAAACCTCAGCTATAAAACAGAGCATAAAATCTAATATTACTGTATCGTAGCATTGTCTTAGCCTGTGGGAATTTTCATAAAATTGCACTAAGGAAACAGAGCAGCCTACAGTGCTATTCCTGCACATCTTGTAAGACATCCTTCTTTTATTTCCCAAATTATTGAAACAGGACATGGCTGTTTTCCTTAGCAATTTAAAGAGCACCTAAGATGGCATCTACAGTGTTAATACCAGTACATTCTCCCTCCCCCCATTATCCTGCTAAAAGCTAAAATCCCAGACTGTATTTCTTCTTTTGGGATAGGTGTTTCTTGGAAAAAAGAATTACAGAAATCAGAATAGGATTTGCCAGGTTGCTAGCAGTTTTAGGTGACAAAAAGCACTGTTTTCTACAAAGCAAGTTCAGGACTTTTCATAAGCATCAGTAGTTGAGTTTAATTAGAGATATAGTAATAGATAACTTGTAAAAAATGAAAATTAATTAATAGTGGAAAATGAAACTGGTTTTCTTCAAGTAAATTGCTATTTCTTGGACAGAAAACAATGCAACAAAAAATCCCAAATCTGAGGATTCTGAGAATCAGGGCTTTCCAAGAAGAATCATATTTCTTAAGAAATATTTTGAAATAGGAGTTTGGATTTGTTAGTATGCTTTGAACTGAATTCTATTACAATAATATAAAGAAATAATTTACATACAATATACCCTGAAATAAATTCAGTATGGAATGTACAATATTTAGACAGCATTTCCACCTTTAGTTACATTCTTCCACAAGGGATTACACCACCCCTAAAAATCCCAGACAAGTCTTGGCTCTGTCTCCAGTTAATGCTGTTTATTAAACATAGTATTTTCCAGTGGTTTCTATTCAGCCTGCATTTAGCTTGCTCATCTGTATCAGAATTAATCTTCTGCACCCTTGCCACCTGTCTTGACTATACCAGCCTAGACACTGAGTACTCACAAGTACTGCATTATCATACTAAAATCACATTGAACAGTCATTTTGGGGATAGGAATGGCTCCTTAAAAGTTATGTAAGCAAACATGCATTTCATGATGGTTTTGATCTAAACCACTGTCTGTATAGGAAAGCATCATACTGCATTTTTATTTCATTATATTACATGTCTTTTGTATTTACTTTTACATGCCCAAATTTTTAATTACACAGCTTCACGCTTTGTGAGAAGTCAAACCATGCAATTCATTAGTTATCCAATCAATTAATTAATCATAAGTTCTTCATTCTTGGTTCATTTTGAGGTCATATTGAGATCTTTCAAGCGCAGCAATTTATTAGCTGTCCCTGATGTGCAAGGATGTTCAAATAAAGCATCCATGTAGAACAACAGAGAGAAAGGTTTCTCTTCCCCATGCCTCCTGCTGAAAGCTTGTGCCCCTCTCATTCTCTACTGGACATGTCTAGTGCCAGTTTGGGATGCTTCTGTGGGAGTCAAAGACACAGGTTTATATACCTTTCAGGCAGAAGAGGGATAAGAGTCTAAGACTCCCACATTCTGAGTGCTTCCAGCACTACAAACACATCCTTCTTTCATGAAGAATCTGGGCATCTAACTTTGCATCTTTGTTTTGGGCTATACATCAAACCAGTCCACTTTAAAGTCACTATTGGCTCAAGCAGTCAACTTGCTCTTGAAACACATAGGCTTTTTTTGGGGCCATAGCAGGTTGGTTAGCATTGTTCTCAATATTCAAAAACATCACCAGATCTAATAGTTATTAGAGAAGTGAAACATCTTTTTCTCATCAACTAGCATTTCACACTGGGAAAGACCCTTGAATCTGTGTTACCCTGCAGTCTTGCACAGGAAAATTGCAAGGACAGGTGCCACTAACTTTGACATTTAAGCTCATTTTTACATTACAAGTTAAATCATGTTTATATAATACAGAGGAGTTAATTGCTTCAACAAAGAAAAAGAGAGGAAACATGATGACAATTCCAGTAGTGCTGCATTCAAAACTTGTTTGTATTTGGTTATGAGCAGTGGGTTTACTGATTGTAGAGAGCTTATTTCTCTCTCAAAACCATAGTCCAGCTACACAAAACAGAAGTCAAATGGCATCCTGAACACATCTTTCTCAAATATTTTATAAGGAGAACACATTATCTTGAGTATTGCTTTTCCCCAAAAGTTTCTTAAACTGAGGTTTAATCCACGTTTGAAATAACATCATAATGATGTTTTCAAAACACAAGCTAAATAACCACACTCTTGGTTTATTGCAAACAAGTCTGAATCCCAAATAAGTGGTTAATGAATTCAACCAGGGCCCTCCATTTTGTACTAACAGCAGCTTCTCTTGATGCACGACTGAGTTGTGCATGCAATGGATCTAGCTTATAGAGAAATCCTATTTTAACTCACTGGGATGCCTTCTTTTAAAAATTAAAAATAACAAAATTATCTTTTGGCCAGAAGTAATGAAAACCATGAAGTGCGTAGGTAGTAAAAGTGACTGGAGAAGTTTAGTGCTCTTCTAAGATCAAAAGCCATCCATTCTCTTCAGATACAGAAAAGTTTCAGATTTTCCCCATACTTGGAAAAAGTGAAATTTAAAATGAATTGCAGAGGAGAAAACAGTAAAAAGCATATAATGTACAGGCATCTCCACATCTTATTGCCCATTTTCTCTGTAAATATAAATTTTCTCAGCTGTAAAACTGCCAATTTGCAGTTAATCCAAAGCTGATCAAAAATCCAGAGAAGTATAAATACAAAGTATTGAAACACAAAGTGATGATTTACAGAATTCTTTCTCCCATTTTTTCTGCTTATGTTGTCTTTATTTGTGGATTTGTGGATTCTTACATTTCACTAGAGGCTTTCAGTACTTAAGGATTGTCTTTTTAACATTTATATGTAATAATCATAGCATCAGTAATAAAAATCAATACATAGAACAAGTGACTCACTAGCTTGGTGATGGTGCTCTTCTCCACTTTGGAATGGGCTGAATTCATGAGCAGATATTTTGCTTTTCAGTAATGAAGTCAGAACATTGTCTACCTTCTCTACAGAAGAAAATTTCAATGCCTGCTTAAAGGAAAGACAAAAGAGAAAAAATATTAGTGTATTTGTTGCATATATATTTTTAACTTAATCCTCAGAGTGCTGGTGAATCAAATTACTCAAAACAGTATTATGGCAAACTCTCAGTAAGAGCAGCACAGTTTTTGAAAACTATAGAGGAGATATTTTAATACTAAGAATTGTGACAACATGATCCAACTGTACATAAACATGCATTATAACATATGAAGTTCATCCATAACTTAAAAACTTCTGGATGAAGTGTAAGGACAGGAAGAGCTATGTTTTACTACAGCAGTAATTCAGGGTGAGTTTAAAGATTATAGTAGCTCTCTGTTACCCAAAACTTTTACATTAAGATTGTGGACTTTTCCAGGTAGGAAACAGCTTCAGTTTCATCAGCCAAGACATGACATTGTTGACAGAACAAGTAACTGATATCAAGCAGATAGATCAGCTTCCTACTAAACACAGAGTCTTTAGACAAGGGAAATCTGCACTGACTGCCAGGAGATTTTTGAGTGTCTCTTTCTGGACAGAAGGTTGAGATCTACACCTAACAACTTCCAAGGTAGCCATAATTAAATATCTCTTTGCCTGGCCTAACAAGAGCAACCTGACTACAGAGATTTGAAGAGTAAGGGTATTTTACAACAAATACTACAGCTCTAGTCTAGTCTGTGCTACACTGGGCACCAAAAGGAGCTCAGCCACAGCAGAGAAGAACTCAGGGACAGTTGTTTTACTCTGCTCAGGGTAGCCCTGTGTTAAAGTTTGCCTTCCCACAGCTGGGCTGTGGCTGGTCAAGACATCTCTGGGATAACTAAAATGGAACATCTTCAGACATGCTTAGCATATGAATTTAGAAAGTCTATGACTGACATGCTGAGGAGAAAATGACAGGGGGATGTACTACCAAAACATGAAGTTTAATTCCCAAGATTGCTAAAATGGAATTAGAAAAGTAAGTATGACGTGATCAGAAAACATTGAATGCAGAGGCATGATATCATTTTCATCCAACTCCTACCAATACAAGAGACATTTATGCAGGTAGGAAGCTAACAATATGATTACTTTTTTCCCAATAATTAACCCTGAACCTTCCAATATTAAGATATGTAAAATCCATTGCATTTCGTTTCATAATTCACTCCCTTTCTGTGCTGTCACACTACATTCTCAGTGTTTTTATTCAATAATTATGAATATATGTCATAATCTTCAAAATCCAAACCATTAAGCATGAAGAAAATACTCCACCTAGGAGAAAATATCTTTCAGGCTTGTTCTAGAATAAGAATCTAACCTGAGTACAAGACTACTATGTAAATTCAGAAAGCATATGCAAAACCTCCCAAAATATCTATAAAACCTCCAAACTATTAACATGTATAACAACACTACATTTATCCTAAGTTATTAGGAGGAATAATATCAAAATTCAGTTAGGAAACCATACTATTCTCTCTCATTCCAAGTACATCTTCTTAGATATGTTATCATTACACTGTATTAACAGAGTTCAATCTAGAGCAGGAAAAAAAAACAAGTCACAACACAGGAACTAGCTCAGTTAAGTGTATATGGCAGATCCTGTGTCACGAGGAAAGAGGCTCAAAATCATTGGTACTCACTGAAGCAACTGTGTAGTAGATACAAATTTAAATGGAATAAAACAGTCCTTCACAACCTAAGATGGAACAAGTTCTTGAACAGAAAAAAGCTTCAGGAACTTGTAGCAAAATTTCTCATACATCAACAGGCCTTCCCTCCAATGACCAGCCTATCCATTTCTATGAATTACAAGTCAAGAACAATGCACTTCCTATACAAAGTTTTCAGTGCAATCTGCTTCACGTTTTCCACCTCAACTTTTTACTTTTCCTCCTACTCTTGGGATGTAAAATCTGAAGGCTTAAGCAATGATTTAATAAGCTATGCTGTTAACTAAACCATAATGGGGAGCTTTGTTGTACTACTCTACAGCAAAGATACAAAAGGAAAAAAAGATTAGTTAATTTAAAAGAAAAAATTTAATTTTAAAATAAAAGGGCATCATGTCTTTTATCTCACATACAGGAGGGCCTGTTTCAGCACTTATGTGAAGATAACAGCTAAAACAACAGCAAAACAGAACTAGGAATAGGGCCACTCTGCACTATCTAGTTCTATACCACCTCCCCAAGAAACAATTTGGTTTAGAGACTTCCATTTTACTGCCCATTCTTGCCCCAGAGCACTCACAGACTCAAAGTCTGCTGTGTATATGTATTTTAACATACCCTACACACATGTCTATAGGCCCAAGAAATCTCACCAACATTACAAACCTGAAGTTCCTAGGGAAGCTTCACAAAAGCAAACAGAAGCAGAACTGTATTTAAAGTTGAACTTAAACTTAAGCACCCTGCAAGAGAACTCTGAGCCACTTAGGAAATTGAGAAAGCCACCTAAGCAATAATGCTAGTTTCCCCTGATGTCCTTGCAGCCCCTCAGAACTAAGCTAGTGACTTTGTAGACATTTTTTCCCCATACTCTGTGAAGCACAGTCAACTATTCTCTACTCCCATGCTGGAAGTCCTTCCACAAGTCTTACTGCTAGTCCTAGTACCACCTCCTTAGCTGTAGGCACTATCTCTATTCCCTCGCCCCTTTCCAGAGCAACAGGACACAGCTGTGAACAGAAAAGCCCCAAGTGCTGACCATCACACTGGGCTTCCGAAAACATCTTTGAGAAAGGAGAACACCAAGCACAAATTTTGCTACTTTTGTCAATGAGATTACCTAAGTTCTTTAATCACTGCTAACCAAGCCCTGAAAATGTGTGCCACTGAAACACAGCATCCACAGCCAGTAAATTAACATATTCCACACTGGCTTTGGCAGTACTAACAAGGTTACATTTACATAAAGATGAACTTTTCCATTAGTTCTTACATATCAGACACTACTTTATATGCACTTCCATATCAGGATTGCTTCTGCCAAAGAGAACGGGCCAGGTTTAAAACCAGACAGGCATTTCTAACAGTTTTAGCCAGTGATAGAATATGGACAGCTTTCATACTTAGAGGAAAAGAAAGAAGCATTTTAAAATAACAGCTGTTGATGTTGCTGAGAAGATTGAAATATTAAATACAGTTTCAAATGAAGTATCTCTGGGGATCAGGCAGAGATGCATACAAAATATTACAACGTAAGTCATATAGCTATTTTACAAGTTTTCATAGAGAAGGCAGCAGTTTATTTTCATGATTTTTTTTCCAATATCAACTGTAACTGGAATCCTGTTTAATGATTATGATAAAAACATCATTGAAGATATCAAGTATCTCAGAATCATAGGAGTATTATTCAGCTGAAGTTTGTCATAAAGACTTCCTCAATCACTTTAGATATTCTAAGTCACTCAAGCTAACATGAACTTGACAGTTTCAGTAATAAGGATATGACCTTAGCTTCATTTTTTTTTTCTCCTTTATTTTGAAGCCTAATAAATCTATGCCAGGAAAGCCCAACACTAAATAATTGAATCAATATTTCCATTTGGTAGAAAAACTCTGAGAGAAAAATCAATACAGCATGTAAATCCAGCAGAATGCTGAAATGATTAGTTGGTGAAAAGTAAAACATGAAATATGAAAAAGTTTAATTATGAATTATAAAAACCTTAAAATCAGTCTATACATTAGGTTACTGTAAGAACAAAAACTCCCTAAGAGAATTTCTTGAATGCAGAATTACGTGAGAGAGCCAGAAATCATGACCTTTATCCAACTTTCACCTTCCTTTATGCTCATACCAAATCCATTCAGCATAATGGTTCAGTTATTATGATCACAACTGTTCCTACTTTAATATTTCAGGTTTTTTCTTCCAAAACTCATGCAAAGAAACTTATTAAATTTTATTTATTTATTCAATAATTTTTAAATACTTTTTTAGTTGTTTAAATTGTCTTGCTGATATTGGTAAATGCTTTTTAAATGCAGAAAAATTTGGAACAGAAAATTACAATCTATCAGATATAGCAAAGAATTTCATCCAAACCTATTACTTGTAAAATCTTAGATTATGCTTAATTTAAACCTTAGCTAATGCAAACCTTCAGTTGCTCTCAAAAAACAGATCCATAAATGCAGTGATACCATATTTTGATAGTCTCCCACTAAGACTCACTAATTCATCTGACCATCACTAAAAGGAATGGATAGCTGCAATCCTATTTGTTGGGTTTTGTCTAGCTCTTTGGCTTTATTGGGGGACAAAGTGGAACATATCAAAGGAGCTGGAAGGGTTGGCAAGACAATACAGAATATAATGTAAGCATTTTACCAAAGCACTGTGTCTTTGGTATGAACTAATGCAGCCATTTGCTTTCATCAAAGAATTTTAATAAGGAGATACTTCTCAGATTGTAAGTATTTGTGAAAATCTTGAACTTTCTCTTGAATCACAGTGATATTGCTTTGATAATAATTGCTGTAAGATTTTTCTATTTTCTATCAGTTTTGTTTTCCATTGTGTTTGATTGTTACTTTGCACAGATAAATGACTGTTGCCCCAGGACACTTTTGCAAACAAGTTGATAGTCTCAAAGGTTTTAATTATCCTGGTTAAATAGAAGTTACTACTACTGCTGCTACTTGATGGGAATTCTAATTAGTATCAAGTCTGTTTTGCTTCTCCTTTTGTGAACATATTTTAAAGATAAAGTCAAATTATGTTCTGTAAATTGCATCTTTATGATGTAGCTTGTTAACATTAAATCAGGAGCTCATTTAAAAAGTTTTCAGAAAAATTTTAGCTACCCAGGTAGTTAGTGTACCTCACTCTGAGGCCCAGCAGGTACCATTAAATGAGACAAATCTTCCAACACCTAGGTAAACTTACAGAAGAATTACCATTGGTATAAGTTACCACAGAATAACCATGACATTGTGCGGACTGTAGAGCTTACCCAATTAAAAACATTTTTTTGACATTAGTTTTTCAGTTACCAAAACAACAAAAAAAATAGCATATAGCATTTTCGCCTCATTTAAACCCTTGCTTATTATTCAGAGGAGTAAAGGTGAGGAAATGTTAAACATACTTCATAGCCATAACACTACAGCTGTATTTCCTGGTGTGCACTACTGCTCTGCACAGAATTATTTTTGCATTTGAATATGATTTGAATTGCATGTGCTTTAATAAATATTAGTCATGCTGGTTAAATGAAGGGTCAAACTCCTGAATAATACAAATAACTCTCCAGTGGAAATATCTTGTGTGTTGTAGGTATCTAGATTACCATGTTAATGATAAATTTTTAAACCATTATGGTAAACTTCTTATGCATAGAGGTTTTAATGAAACTTGTTAGAGGCTTACTTAGACATACTTCAAAATACAGACTAAAAAATTATGGATACCATAAAGAATTTAAGAACACATTTGCTCTTTGAGTTGCACAATTTTTTTTGTGCAACAGTCTGTTTTCCTTCATAGAACAGAAGTAACGTGTACTTGGAAGGAATCTAGCCTCATCCTTAATAGAAAGCTAATAATGCAATAAATCATATTTTATTAATCCTTTTGTTATGAGTGTAATGCCTTAGGTGGTGGATAAGGTATATTTGTCACAGGTAAATGAGATTGTCTGCACTGGAAACACAATCTATTATTTTTGTTCTGGTTTTGCAATTGCAATATAGACATTGTGGAAGGTCTTCTTGGGCTACCCACCATTCAACAAATGATACTTGAGATTCTGTCCTACCTTAATATGTACTTATTTTCCTGATATTTCTTATGTGCCACTGGAAAAGAACAGGCTGCAGAGCACTGCAGTCTGCTGTGCTGATCTGAAACAAAGTTCAAAACCTGATTTTTTCTAAATATATGCAAAGAATCTGCATGGCAACCAGCAAATCACATGAATGATAATTCAGTAGCTGTAAATGGACTCTACATGAGCAGCAACTTACAGCTTCCCGTACAAGCTATGCCAGGAACATTTGGTTTGATGGTGAATGAATAACAACCCTCCAAATACAATGTGGTTTAAGATTAATGCTTCTATTGGTTTCAGAAATAAAAAAAATAATACTTTAAATGGAGAGAGACTTCAGTAATATTTGTTCTTATTTTCAGCCTCTGGAGTGCAGCATGTTGCTCACTGGGCATATACAGCACAAAGAATGTTTACACCATTCCCTGAACAAAACAAGAAAATGGAAAATTTGTTTTCTCTTGCCTGACTTGCTTACAACTAGACATCTCAGAGGCAGGCCTCTTAATCCTGAGCTTACTACTGAGCCATTACAAAATTACTGTGCAATCAAAAGATTGCATACCATCTCTTAGTTCATTTAGGCACTTACATTCTATTTTTCTTTAATTAAAATTTGAGAAGTCAACTTACCTGACAAGTGAAAGCTATTGGGTCGGCCACTTTCTTTAAAATGGGTTCAATTTCCTCTAGTGCAGTATAGTATTCAATCTGTGCTGTCGTCTTAATGACTCCCCCAGAGTAGACATTTACATATACAGGGCCAGCAGGAAAATCTTATAAAACACAAATCAAAACACCAGCTGAAGATATTTTACAGTCCCAAAACAGAGATCTTGGGGAATGAGTAAAAGAACAGAGAATATCACAGAAAAAACATAGAGTTGATGAACTGACTGGATTTGCATTTCACAGATGATTCAGTGTAGTCAATTTTTTTATTCAGGTCTTTCAGTCTTTCACAAAGCTGACAAAAGAAAATATGTATCTTTAAATCTGTATAAAGCAAACCTATTGTATTGCTTCACATTAGAAAGGAGATGAAAACAGAATGCTTAAAATTTTCAAATGCCCTTTGATAGACTGATGACCTCCAATCAGCACCCTTATGCCTACATGTTAAGGAAAAGTTCATTTATCGCAAATAGTGCAATCGCTATTAATCTGAAAAACTTTTTTCTTTATTGCAGTCAAGGTTCTCAAAATTGTATTTGGGCTAGGCTGCAGAAATTGCAGTATAATTAATTCATTCTGGTTGTTTACCTCATAAAAGCCAAGGAGAGAGGCACTTGTAAGTCTGTTACTTAAGTATGACTCCCTCTGTGCATGCAGCACAAGCCTGCTTTATGAGCACATTTCCCAACCCATTAGTGTTTGTTGTGCCAGGCATTCTGCTGGACCATACTAGCAGAGTCTTCTTGAAACACTAACTCTGCCCAAAAAACAGTGAAAAAGGGACAATTCTGAAAATGGAGAACAGGAATAGGGACAGGGAAACTAGACTAAGAGTACATCACATTAAATCACTTAAATAGAAACTTCCCAAATGTGGGTTAAAAAAAAAGCAAAAACAAAACAACAAAACACAGCATTTCTCCTATAACATCAGATCAGCTGGACCTAAAACAGGATACTTCCAAATTTCCACTTTTCCAGATTTTAAAATAGGGTAAACATCAAACACAAATGATATAAGAAACAGAATTAAACTTGCCTACAGCTCTCTGCCAATTATTTTGTATTTAATTTACCTTTCACATTTTATTTCTTCATCTACTACAGAAACCTTTTTGTGATCAACAGTGTTCTGACAAAAAAAAATTTTTGGAAGAATCTTTTGAGATCTATGCATGAAGAGTGCAGCTTTTGTTCTCTGAAATCCAGTTACAAATGTAACTTCCTTGTTTGTTATGTATTTTCTAGTCAGGTTTCTAAAAGCAAGCTCTCTGCACCATCACAGTGATAAAGAACTCTCAGCCCATACATGGCCATCATCTTAGGACAGTGCTCAGGATGAAAATCACAGAATAAATTAGGTTGGAAAAGACTACCAATGTCATTGAGTTCAACTTCTGAATGACCACAAACCTGCCAAAAAGACCATGACACATGTGCCACATGCAGTCATTTCTCGAACACCTCCAGGGATGTCACTCCTCTACCTCCCTGGGCAACGTGTTTCAATGTTTAACAAACGTTTCTGTGCAGAAATTCCTCCTGATGTCCAACCTGAACCTCTTCTGGCACAGCTTGAGGCCATGTCCTCTTGCCCTGTCACTGGTTGCCTGGGAGAAGAGATCAAATCCCACCTGGCACAGCCTACATTCAGGTAGGTTATAGAGAGTGATTATGCTTTTCTCCAGGCTGAACAATGTCAGCTCCCTCAGCCACTCCTCATGTGAGTTACTGGCCCTTCCCCAGTTCCATTGTCCTTCTCTCACACAATCCAGCACTTCAATGTCTTTCTTAAATTATGGGGCCCAGAACTGGACACAGAACTTGACTGGTGCAGTCTCACCAGTGCCGAGTCATAGAAATCATCAGGTCAAAAAATCACCAAAACATAGCTCCAAGAAGTCACAGTGGGAAATTGTAAACTATGTGTATGTACTTCCTCCTATCTAGGGAGGAATTATTGCAATTATTGCAATTATTTTATAATAAAATATTATGGAAGTTCTTCTGGGAATTCTCAGCATGCAGCCCAATAGCAAACTATACTCTGAACACATAGGTGAGGAATGTTATAATTCTTAACCCACATCAAGAATGGGTATAGGTGCGCCCTTTAAATCTGCACAGATCTTCTAAGAGAAACTGTTAAATAGTTTAAACTGTTATCAACGAGTTACGGATGGAGCAATAGAAAAAATCATTAGGAACTAGGAAAGATGAGTGATACAGAGAAATGGCATGAATGTGAACAGAGAAAATAAATTATTACCTGCATCAGAAAGAATTATGGAGAGAAGAGTAACTAGATTTACTGCATTAAATATGAGACATTTAGTAACAGAGTAATAAGAAAAGAATATTAGGTTTGCATTTTACAGCAGTAATTTTGAAGAATGTTAATCTGTAACTAATCAATGACATTTTTAAGAGTGCCACCTGCCATTTAACCACAGAAAACCAATCTAATAGAACCTAGGTTCCCATAAAACACAAGGCCTTCCTTCTCTGCATTATTAAAAGTGATGTGTGCAAAACTCATGTATAGGAAACATCCACAAAATAGCAGAAAGGGAAACTACTTATCAGAAAAAGTGAAGGGAGGTGAAACTTTTTAGTTTTTCTTAAAGATAAAGAATATTTTTCTTACTTAGGGCTTTCACATATTTGACATTCTGGTTCCAAGAGGCTGTCTGTGTTCTAATTCGTTGATTATCTGTTATGAATTCAATTTCTAGAGTTTCTTCATCTATTTCCTCTTTCAACAGAATGAATATTTCACCAGGGTTCTACAAAATTAAAATGTGTTCCCATTAGTCCTTCAGAAAATTATATTGGAAGTGTAACACTATATTGAAAGTGTATTGAAAGAACTTTTCTTTATCAACAGCTTCATGCAAAAAAATTGTACTAACAAAATATTACAATATCTCACTGCTTCCTTTAGTATTTTACTTACATGAAAGATACAAGTACTGTAGGATTTTAAATTTCACTTACATAGGGATATTTTAAAAGAGTATTTTAAATGCATATGTAGGTGAATTGTTACATTTTCTAAGGCCCTTCTACTTTATAGCCTAGAAGAACAACATCCATCCTAATAAGAATAACCTAAAATACTTTAGAGTCAGCCTCTTACAGTAAGGTGACAGTGGACAGAAGCAGCATATGATGTGAGACAATAGCCCTTTACTACCTCCTGAACCAGAGGTAAAATCACTCCCTTAGAATTGTACAGATCTCAACAATGAAATAATGTTATTATTAATATTACTTAATGTTATTACTAATATTGCTTATATTAAGTCATCTTTGAAAGACAGAAAACAAACAAAATCTGTGACATTGTGTGTGCACTGCCACCTCCATACTTGACCATGGCCACTCACATATAAAATGAAATGCAGTGCTAAATTGTGAAATAAACTTATGTTTTGCATAAACTTCCTCTGTTTATGCTGTCACATATTTCTCACAGCCACTCTGATTAAAAGCACATATGAACATTTACGTCCACTGCGTATGCATGCAGATATGTACACATAAATACTTCTGATTTAATTTAAATTCAAACTATGTCTGTGCTCACTCAAGCCGTGTGTAATTCATGGTATGGGCACATATGCATCTATACATACACCCATCCTGGATTCTTGCCACGACAAATTCCACATCTCTCAAGAAGTGCCTGATTGCTTGCTCCCTCTGAAGTCTAAGGCCCACAGGACCATAATACTTCAACTCGAGATGCTAAATAACTCTAATAGAGCTGTCTCCAAACTACTTTACTTGCAAATCTTTGACTGTAGTGTGGATGCAACACAAAGGCAAAATGAATCCCACTGCAGTCTTGACGCACTCTCATTTTGGTCCCTTGGCAATTTTGGAAACAAATAACAGATATAGTATGAATGAGACTGCAGCAGGAGGAGGAGAAGAAAAATGACTGTTATCCTAAAGATTTTATCATCTAGAAGTCTTACCTCACATGATACTCTTCTCGGAAGCACCAATATTGACTGCTTGTTACTTTCTAATCTTTCAGAAGGTGCCTCTGTTTTAAAAGTGAAGTTTGTTTCTTCTGATGCTCCTGTGATACCTGACAAGTTAACATCAGAGAAAGTCTGGTGATCTGAAATAAATAATGTGAAATAAGAACACTGTTAATAATCCTAAACCAACAAGACATGGCAATGATGTGGTTTCCAATGTATTACTCGTGTGGCATTTGGAGTCACATTAAGGACAGTACATAAAAACCTGGCAAAATTCCTTTAATGAAAATGTGATGAGATGTCCTCCTTTGATAAAGAGTTTCCTTCTGAAGTTTTGATATTGCAGCCTTGATTTACATGAACAGACTCTCCACATATGCTTTGTCTTCCTAAAACAAAAAGGGGCAGAGCCTTTGGACTGAAATCATTGTGAACAGCACAATCAGGGAGATCAGGCAGTTTTGTCATCTCAGAATTTTCATACACTAGGATAAAACACAATTTTACCACTCTTCCCTTCTTTATAAACAAGCAGATGCTATGTGGTTACAACATCAACCCACCTGTCTACAGGAAGGGTTTACACGAGGGCAGTGATACCTGTAACATGGTACTATGACAGTAGGCACAGATTTCTTTGACACAGATTCCATGGTCTTTGCCTGCCTTAATGGACAAAAGGATGGATGGAAGCCATACATTTTTAAAATAGGATAATCTGAGTTTGGAAATGCTATGCCATTTACATAGGTAGCTTGCAATCAGTTTCTTTTCTGTTTTGCTGCACCAGAAAAGGCCCAAGAGCCTCCAGCAAATATAGTGAATCCTTCACCACATTGCAGAATTTTAATCATGAAAAAGAACTGAGAACTGCATCTGCAGGGCTCTGACTATGCCTGTGTTTTAGCAAAGGTATTCTTTACCTGCGGTGTCTCAGTTGCATCATTACTCCTTCTTTCCAGACACTCTATTACCCTGTGTGAAACACTCCTGCCACCCATCTATCTCAAAGGACTGCAGCAGCTCTTCATCATGGAGGATTAGTCAGTACACTGCAGTCACCTAGTTACATTATTGATATCATTTCACACTGTTCAGAGTTAAAAAATCTTGACTGGCTGATGAGACAATATCCTGAGAGACACCCATGCTATCTTGCATTACTGTAAATGATGAAAGTCAATTACATTCAAGGATACAAAGAACTTCTGAGGTACATCTTTTCCTCTTAAATGGATATAGAATATTAAAATAAATTAGTGATGGGCAGAATACAGAACAGCAGCAATTTGGCATTGCTCAAAGAAATACCACAGCCATTTTGCATTTCTTTGAAAAGGTGCCCAAGTGACTGAGGTACACAAACCATAACAGTGCTCCTAAGTGGCACGGAAACCTTTCCAGTCAGTGTCAGTACTGGCAATCTACAATTCTTTTTCTCACTTCTTGCTTGCCTCTACTTCTTCCATATGCACCAGTTCATCTGATACATGTTTCCTTGCTTTACTAATCTTGCCTTTCTTAAGGCATAGATTTAATAAAGTACCACTATAACAAATGTGTCTGCTAAATGAAGTTATGCCATGGCATCTACTGTAGAATCTTTTTGATTCAGGGATATGCTTTTATTTTTGGGGAGGGGCGGGGAGGGGAGGGGAGGGAAGGGAAATATCCATGGTTCCTTCAGAAGCTGAAGTTTCCTTGAACACCTAATCTAAGTTAAGAAGGTTCAATGACCATCACTAGCTAGTAAAATCTGCCCATCCTACTCCTGTTTATACCCTCATGCCTTTAAGGCAAAATAATTCTGAATTAAAGCTGTGAATTCAGGGTAGATTGTTAGAATTACTGAACCTACATGTAGATGTACTTTACTAAAGTAGCATGAATTCCATTTGCTTTAATTTACTTTAAAAATTAAATAGGCTGCACTGAAAAAGGCTATTCTGTTTCTGAATGAGAACCCCCACTGTCCAATGCACTTTAACTAATCCAGCTCAGAATATAAGCACAATAATTTCTTTGATTATCCCTGTGAAGACTACACTTTATTTAGCACTGCTCTTCAGAAAAATGATGACCTTAACTCTTGCTGAGGAAAACAGTTATGATCCTTTTACAGAAGGCGTTAAAGTACCTAAACAGGACCTACAAGAAACATGGAGAGGGAATTCTTACAAGGGCATGTAGGGATGGGACAAGGAGGAATGTCTTCAAATGCAAAGAGGGTAGATTTAGATTAGATATATTAGGAAGAAAGGCCTTACAGTGAGAGTGGTGAGACACCAGAATAGGTTGCCCAGAGCAGTTGTAGATGTCGCATAATGACTACCGTAAGTTGGCCAGGTTGGATGAGCTTTGGTCCACCTGGTCTGGTGAAAGGAGTCAATGCTTATGGCCAGGGGATTGGAACTAGATGATCTTGAAGGTCCTGTCCAACCCAAACCTTCCTATGATTCTGTGATTATGTATGCCCAGAGCACGTATTTTGGGATTGTATTCACATTTTAAGTTACTCATAAATCTTACACTTAAACACAGAATTCACTTCAGAAGATAACTCATATGAGGTACGTGCTACTTCTGAATTTTTTTCCTGCCACTTTAGGCAAAGGAGTCTCACAGAGACAAGAAACATTCTGTTATCAGATTGACAAAATGAAAGAAACGAATAACAAATCTGGAAGGCACTGGATTCTCAGATGTCAGCCATCTGTCAGTGATTGTTCTTCAAGGATCATGTAGATGCACTCTAATCTATGTAAAGTTCATGACAACTTTATTTCTACAGTGTGCACTCTACTTATCAAAGATCATTTTCTTCACCTTTTAATGCCAATAATTCATCTACTGAGAACATTAATCCTATTGCTAAAAAGTTGGTTTAAATTAGGATAATATTTTCTTCCCATTAATAATTGCATTTTAATATTTTTATTGTGCCTAGTGACATCTAAATGTACTATCAGAACTTCAGCCCAGTCACTACTGTGATAGCACAGCTATCGCAATAGTAGACAATTAAGGAATGTGGCTCTTACATCAAAGACTAGGATATTTAAGAGGACTAGGGTTACCCTGCTGACTTGAAAGTGGCTATCAATTTATTAGCTAAAAACCATCAAGCAAGACTACTTCACTAAATTTAAAGTCTACCTGACAATCAATGAACCAAGTACAACAGCCCAAGAACCACAGGGTTCATATTATCATTACAGTGCAGTCACCAAATTTTGGAGCCATCATCTCCAGCACTCAAATTCTAACAAGCAACTGTACATGATCTGTCCTAAAATCTGGAACATGAAACAACCACATGAAATGTTGTTTGTCAGCGCTGAACGCTGAACAAGCAATACACCAGAGATTAAGCAAGCCTTGGCTTGTTGATATTAACTGAAACAAAGTAGATCATAAAGGTATTAATATTACAATAATGAGACTGTAGTAACACAAATGGAGCAATGATAGACAATATTTGTTTTATGTAGGCAGAAGATGTTGCCAGATGTTCAAGTCTTTTGAACATTTAAATTTTGGACATCTTCATTGTTTGTCCTCTTTAGACTCTTGGTTTTAAACTGAAATGGCTAAGGAGCTCCACCAATTCCTGAGGCTTTCAGAAAAATTCAGAATTTACAACTGCAGGTGAAGATTATCTTAAAAGAAACATAAAAGGAATATCATTATTATGCTGGACTATGTAAGAGATAGGATTTATTAAAGGATATTTGTTGCTTGGTGAATGTGTTCTTTTAATGCTTTATATAATGGTGACCTGTTCCTGAGGTTTTTAAAATGTAACAGTAACAATTAAAATAATTAATGAATAAAACTGGACCCTTTCTTGTAGGATCAAAGTACAAGAAATTATTAACTATATCAAATGATGCATAGACAACATTATGAGCCAGAAGCTAAAAAGAAAGGAAAAGTCTATGATAATCTTCCCTAGGGTAATCAGGGCAGTACTACTGGGAATTATCATCTATTATAGAGGGTAATGTTTAATTTCCATCAGATTACTTTTGTTGGCTTACTTTTGACAAATATCTGCTGCTGATGGCCACATTGAAAGGACTGATCTTAAATTTACGTTCATTTTAAATACTAAAATATAACACACATTTAATGTAATTTCATTGGGGACAGAGCTGATGTTTTCAATTTCACTTCAGTGTTCTCTCCTAATTCATGTAAATTCAATACATCAACTTGGTATATTTTACATAAGACCCTTTGGAACACATTATTGCTTTCAATTTAACATTTTGAACTAAATTCATGACATGACTTTGAAATTGTATTCCTTTACATAAACTGAGAAATCTTCATACCCCGTCCCAAATCTCTTGTGTATTCAACAACTAATGCTTCACCACAGCTTCTAAGCAACTCCCCTGCCATATTCAACTTTCCCCAGTTATCCTTACTGCAGCCTACATGAGAATTAGAAGTGTTCTCTATCTTTGATTACTTGGTAGTTGCTACATGTTCTGAGTCAACAAAGTATGTGACAGATTTAGGGCATTAAAAATAGAAGAAAACAAACTTATGAAAGATTTATGTGTTTTCTAAGGCTACCCATGAAATGAATCTCTCAGTCAAAAATTAGGCTGGTTTTACAAAAGCAAAATGCCTGCTAGCTTTACAAATTTCAGGTCTTCCTCAAGTTTTGTTAATGCAATGCCAGCTGAAGAACTGAAACTGTGGTAAAAAGAGGTCCTCAATTAGCCCTAGAGCACACATCATACAAGAGGATGACAAACATGGGTAAATCAAGCTAGGCTGATAATGAGGAATGGGAGGGTAATTTAGCACATGTGGCCACCTTGCCACCTGAAAGAAAAGTCAGGGTGTTCCAGTGTCAAAGATTAAAATAAAGAGAATTACAGCAGATCCTTTAAGTGCAGAAGGCATCCTGTGTAGTATGGGAGGCCCAGTCTCCAACACAATGTGACAAAAAGGCAGAGGTGGTGCCACTGGGTTCTGTGAGGTATAACTGAACAGGTTCCAATGTATTAGTGACTTCCTTGCAACTCAGAAGCCTGAAGTCAAACAGTTCTGTGAGTGCCCAGCAGAAATAAGGATTTAAAAAGAACCATGCAGAAAAAAATGAAATAACCTCTTGTGGGAA